GTTACTGTTGTGGTCCTCTAACAGTGGCAGAATACAGTGGACTGCCATCCACTCTTAGAGTAAGTGGGATATTGAGGGTTTGTTTTTTCTTTCTATTGAGCCCAAGGAGCCAAATGAGAAAAACCTTTGTGCATGGCCAGTTCAAAAGGGACGCATACTACTACTCAAACTCTGCCCTTTTTCCCCCTTGACCATACTACAACCCTTCTCTCCTTTCCCTACTGTTCTGAAAGTATTTAATTTAACAAACGAAGATGGCTATGGAAATTACATGTTCCATATTACATATTAATGTAATTTTTATGATCACTGTAAATTTCTGTCGGTGATGGCCTGTATTTGGTTCTATATTATGTACAATACAGCCACTAAACTGGGGAATCGTACAGTGATCCAAAAGTATATTTAAAAGAATAACTGCAGTTTCAGTTTTTGATAACTCTGTTGCAGTTATTGTAAATGCAGTGCCTGCTCACTAAACCATAATAAAACATTAAAAACACGTAAATAAGCCTATCTGTATGTGCTAATCTTGTAAAACGTTTTTTTCTTTGTGCAGTTTGTAATTTTATTTGTACATAGTGAAAGCCATATTTAATTATTACAGTTGCAGGCTCTGCAGTGCTACGCAATGAATCTGCTTTACTGCTTCTAAGAAAGCAAGACTATATGTTGACCACTCATTTTAAACTATGGATTTCTTGAGTGACTGATATGTTGTTAAGGAAAGAGGCTTGTGGTTAATCTGCAAAATGTTTATATTGAATAAAATAACTATAGACAAGCAAGCATGTAAATATGATACACATCAAAAATGTATTTACATTAAACTTACTGCAATACTAATGACAAGAATGAGCACACACTGAACAAACACTATACTTGATCTTTAAAGTTTTAAGACAATAAACTTGTGTATTCTTGATGTGTTTTTTCGGAGATGTGAAAGTTGGATGCGATGTGGACTTAAGTGAAGCTGGAGAGTGGGAAGTCAAGACCATCACAAGTGCTTTAAAGCAGTATTTAAGGTGAGTTTTAACTAGTTAACTATTCCGACCATATAACTAATGTGGCTCTAGTGTTCTCTTTGCTTTTGAAATGGCTCTGTCACCTAATCAGCCTGATCTACAGAACCCAGTTAATATGTGTTAGAGCAGGGGTGCCCATTAGGTAGATCGTGATCTACCAGTAGCTCTAAAGCTGATGCTGGTAGATCACGAAGGGTGTGAATGGCCACCAAATCACTTGATAAGTAATGTGGTACTTGTATGCAAGACATATTTATGGTCTTGTTCTTAATTTTCTGGTTTTATTTACAAGTTCTATATTTGTATTTATCTCATAGCCCTGATGCAGGGGAGCATAATTTGCCCCCAAAATGTGTCACTCAATAAATATACCAAAATGGAATAAAAGGGCCACCCCTTTATTCCATTTTGGTATATTTATTTAGCTGTGCACACATGATTACCTATTAGCCTGAGTCTGCTGTGCCAAGCACCCTAACACCTTTCTGGTGGATACTGGTGGTTGAAGTGCTCTGTATTACATCAAAGAATATTAGTTTACACAGCCTGTTGCACTGCACTGTTTGCAAAATACAGCAAGGTGAGCCAAAGTTTTATATTTGTATTTATCTCATAGCCCTGATGCAGGGGGAGCATACTTTGCCCCCACAATGTGTTGGGTATTTGGTGAACCAATAAAGCTGTTTTTAACTTCTGTTGGCTTATATTACTGAGTACCCATTGAACGGTAGCCCTGTTTGCATGTGGGTTGCCTCTCCAAATGACTGTCATGCCTTTTTTGCTCGGTATAAATAAGCATTTTTGGGGTAGAAAATTGCCTAAAATCCCAAAAGTTGTCACCATGCTGATCCCAACCAATCACAATCCCACATCACTACCCTGAAATTCCCTATTCTTGTACAACAACCTTTAATGGTATAAGTAAAACAAACTTGCATAGCTGGTGAAGATAAAATCACCTCCAATAGTATGCATGTCATGTGGTGCAGCAACTGTTGCTATGCTAATTTTTTTTTTATACAGGAAAAGATGGGCAGAATTTTTCATTCAGCATCTCATAAAATATATGTATACCAGTAAATGTGCATTTCTCTCAGGCTATGACATTAATAGTTGACTTTTTTCATTAAATTGTAAAATAAGCCAACTTTTAAATGAGCATTTGTGTTTTATACAGTTTTTTGGACTTCTATAGCATTTAAGGTAAATGAGCACTTCCAGTAAAGTATCTGCTAATTCGTTCCCTGCTAACACTTAAAAAAAAGTGTTGTATAACTAGTAAATATTGGAATGACTTGACAGGGTTTGTTTTAACTTTGAGCTGTCCTTGTGTTTTCAGGAGCCTGCCAGAACCACTGATGACATACGAGCGGCATGAAAAATTCATCAATCCTGCCAGTAAATATTCACTTTATTTACTGTTGGTTATCAGCAGATCCTTGGTGGAAGCAAATTCTAAAGGGGAATTCTAGCTTTTTAAACAATACAAAGGTTCCAAAAATACAGTGGGTAATGTATGATGCTGTAAGGAGATACAAGTGGAATCACACATCACGGACCCATTTGTACAGCTCTGTTTATGAGTCCTTTTAAAGCGAGTGCAATAACTGATCAGTGCAGACATACTTTTTGTTGCTGGTTCATATGTAACATGATGGTGAGGTTATTCTCCTGGTTTATGCTTTGAAGGATGGCTGGTAAAATGCTGCTATTCCGAAATGAAACTTCTGGAAACAGAAATTTTCTCTACTCCTGAAGAATGCAGCAGGCATCGGCGGCAGGGGGTCTGTGTCCCCTCTGATCCCTGGTGGTAGCGGCGGGGATTGGAGGGGACACAGAGCTGATGAAACACTGGCTCCCAGCGGGGAGGAGAGAAGGAGAATCAATTAATTGATAAAGAGAATTGTTGGCAATGATGCTCATTATCATCGATTAAATACATTTGTTGTTGCAGCCCTGTTCACCTTGCAAAGTAATGTACAGGTATTCCTCACTTGATGACCGAGTTCCGTTCCTACGACCAGGTCGTTAAACGAATTGGTCGTTAAGTGAGGAACTCTATACAGTACTGTACTGCATTAGTACAGTACTGTATAGTGTTGCAGATTTACAGTACTGAACAGTGTGCTGTACATCGAACAATAAAGTACTTCCTGAGACCCGCGGTGAAGAACGGAGCACGTCACTTCCGCCAGCGAGACGTCACACTGGCGCTGCCACGTTCCCGCACATAAGGTCGGAGGTCGGTTGTAAGTGCGAGCGGTTGCAAAACAGGTAAGTCGGTAAGTGAGGAATCTCTGTAGTTGTTTGATTAATCTACAGCCAGTTATCAAGCCTTCTTTTAAGGTGAACCTGTAATTAATTTAAAACTTGTAAAATCCTTTTTAAGGGTAGACACCGCAAGAGGTCTATTACTTTTATTGGCTAGCAAAGCATTGTCTGAGCCTCTTTTTCTTTAACATGTAAACGCCATTTGAATATAATTTTCAATTTAAATCTGTAGCCTTCATTAAAATATTAGGTGATTCTGACATCAAGGTCCTTGGCACCTCCTGTTATAGGGTGACAGTGCTCTCTTTCTGTTTCTTAGCTGTGCTCCTGCATTGTCACCCTGTCAAATATGCTTCGGTTGGAACACACATTTTGTAGGCATGCTCCATTGTTGTCACACTGAACAAAGTAAATGTCATTTGGTTGGGTTTTACAACTAATATAGGCTACATCAACTGCCATCATTCTTGTGGCCATTTTATAAATCTGCGTATTGAAGCTGATACCAAAAAAGTAGAATAGCAAGCATAAAAAAAATTCACATGACAATACTAAATTTAAAGCGTGTTCTCTGAAAAAGTAGTAAGGTTTGTCTTTAATCAAAGCCCAGAACTTCTGCAAGAAGGATATTAAAATACTTATGTAGATCCTGAGAATAGGGTAGGATAAGAGAAGGTCATTTTTTTTGCCCTTACTCTTTTGTCCACAATCTTTTCTTTCCTATATCTTCTTACTCCGTTTCTTGTTTCTTTTCTGCTTAATTTACTTTATCTGCTCTTATCATTCTTGTTTGTCTGCCTGTACTCTCATTCTGAATCGTTTTATCTGAGCTTCCACCTTGGTAGATGTAAAGGTTATAGATTTATTTGGCTCATCCTGACTTCTCTGATAGGGTGATTCCTCACTAAGATTGATATGGCTTTTGCTTATTAAGTTATTTCTATTTCCATCTTTTTCTTTCTTTTCTTTTTCTTTTTTTTTGTTACAGGTATTTTAACATACAACATGCTTCTGACTTTTGAAACTGCTAAACATTTTAAAATAGAAATATCTAATGTGTATTAGTTGAAACTGTTTCAGTTCTTAAAAACTATTAGCACCACTGTTCAAAAATGACTGCTTTTTAGGTCACAGCAGGCATCTTAGACAAATGTATAGCTCAGAATGAGATCTATATAAAGGTAGAAGGAATGACAATTGGACATTGTTCTGACCACAGTTTTTTCAAAACGTAAATGGATTGGAGCGTCTATGCAATAGATGGTGTTTTTAACTTACTTGAGATGTTTCTCTGGTACCTTAGGCATTTTAATAATAAAATTTTGTTGCTTATTGACCTGGATAGATTTCAGCAGAATGAGGAAGAAAGGTGGTGTGCCCAGAATATTGAGTGGTGTCTGAAGCAGTATGTGCTTCATCTTTCAACCTCCTATGTTCTGCAGTTCTCATTAAACCATCTGCGTACTGGGGCTTCTAACGTCACACTGACTTTATAGCTCAGTGCTCAGCCACTTATAACTAACAGTATGCTTAGTTTTAGTTGTGGATTATTTCAAATAAATACGTATCTGACAGCAAAAATGTAGAGACATCTAAAAAGAGGCATAAATTAATAATTGTTTACACTATTGGGTCTAAGCAGGCATACTCGCTCGAAAAAGGGGAAGAACAGTACAACTCTTGGTCAATACAGCACATGAGTACTAATTAAGCTGCTTATTTTTTTTTCTTTTTATATGACTATTGTTCGTTTTCATTACAGATTTATAGCAACTTATGGTCAATGTTCAACAACTAGCTTTCCCTGCTGAATTAATGCTCTTTCCCCTTAGTTCCTGAACAGTGGGACACATACCACTTGTAAACATTCTACTCGGCGTTTTGTGGTAGGGCTTGCCACCTACTGTAAATGGATGACTTGTATGGACTCAGAGATGTGGAAACATATAATCCACTGTTTTATTCCATCTACTGTCTGGCAGTAGTTTTCACAAAAGTGGGAATATTGTCAAGATGAGTACATACTCCCTTTTAGGAACGGTTTCTAAGCAGTGAAAATAGGGATTTAACTGCTTCCTGCCCACAGTCTTTTGATTAACATTCCCCTGTGTTGTGGGAGGGTTAATCTATGTACCATCTTTGACAGCTAGCCAATGATCTTGTGCTACCGTGGAAATGTAGCTGTGACTGACAGCTCTGGTCCACACAAACAACTGTGATTCCTGATCATGTTATCACCATGCCAACTATGGCATAGTGATCACATGCAGGCTACAGTTTCCTTCACAAAAATAAGCCTTTAACCTGCAGATGACACTGCAGCCTGAAGATGGTAATATTCCAGTGTTTTAATGCTGTATCTAACAGATGCAAGTATAGCATTGAATTAGAAAAAATGTAATTGCCTTCCGGTTGTGAAAGGGTTAAACTGGGGGCTTGAAATGGGTTGTGCTGGCTATTGTGGAAAGGGATGACTTGCTTTAATGTTGGTTATCTGTAAGGCCAGTGATGCATGAGCTAAAAGAGGATTTGCACCCAGGGGGTTTGAACAGGGAAGAGGGGTGACACAAGTTTGAGTAACAATATTATCAGAACTGTAAGACTGTCGTAGAGGTAGCCTGCAAAGCTACTGGATTTTCAGTGCCATGATTACAAGGGGTAATTACATAAGCGACGATTGTATGGTGGTATACAGCTGACATGTAGATAAATGAAAAAGACTTTCCAGGAACAAGAACTCCAGTACTCATCTTATATTGTTAGCATTAGGAATGCAAAAAAACCTGTAATTTTTAAAACATTATGTAATTCAGATAATTCTCGCACATCACCTAATGGCAGAGCCAGATCATTCACAAGGCAAAGGGCCCAGTGGATGTCCTGGAAGCCCTTCTACAAGCACCCTGCTCCTTCAGCAAACCAGGAGAATAGCACACTTGGTCTAGGGTGTGTACTTGCTTATTACTTCACAAGGGAGGATGTACTTGTAGGCGGTTGGTATCTGATGGATCCATGCCTAGAACAGACAATGCAAATAGGGTGCCTTCTCAACCTGGCTTCTTTGTTGAAATTGATTTATCAATATTATTTGAAGACATGGGCATGTCTACCTTGCCTATGGCCCTTTTCTGCCTTAATCTAATGCTGCCTATAGGGATCAGACAGAAGTCAAATTGCTGAGTTTATCATTTCACTTTCTGTCGTATAATTGTCTCCATTCATTTACAAGTCATTAAACCCACCATGAACTTTGTCTTCTGCACTGTTCTTCTCAGTACACTCCTGTTAGAAGTACTTCCTACCTAACAGACCATAACAAATGCTTATTTAATAGTTCGACATTTAAATATAACTAGATGCGTTCTCCCATTTTCTCTTGCAGAAGGTGGAAGCCCAGAGACTCGGGTGAATGCTATTCATTTCTTAGTTTACAAACTTCCTGAGAAAAATCGAGAAATGCTGGACCTGCTCATCAAGCACTTGGCTTAGTAAGTAACTTTTGTTGTGGAGCCCTTCTAGGGGTAATGGAATATACATAGTTTGCATAAAAAATAGATCTTTACATTTTCCTGTCAATTATCTAATGTTAAAACAGTAGTATTGTATGGTGCCTTACATGGTTTATTGCATTTATCTATTTTAAGTAAAAATTGTCTGCTTTATTCCACTTACATGAAGCTTGAACATTTCCTCCTCCACCCATTTGAGTCAAGCTTGTGATTCACACTGCTTGAGGGTCAGAGCTAATTGATAGAGCTAGCGCCCAGTGGTTTAGTTTTAATAATGATAAATCTATGCATATGCATGTACATCACTGACGTAATTTGACATTTCTTTTTTAAGTGTCTCCAGCCATGCCAAGATAAATTTGATGACTGTAGCTAATCTGGGAGTGGTGTTTGGCCCTACTTTGATGAGACCTCAAGAAGAAACTGTAGCAGCTATCATGGACCTGAAGTTTCAAAACATTGTTGTTGAAATACTCATTGATAACCATGAAAAGGTATTTGCCCAACCTCACTGACTTCTTTAACCTCTTATAACCTATTTGGGATTGTTTTAATAGCTAGTGATTACATTTTCAAGCACAGAGTGGAGCTGTTACAGTAAATGAAAGTGGAAATGTTACTTATGGCAACAGTCGGCTTCCAACTTTCACTTTAAAGCTCACCATACATGTTACAATCTGACCATACAATCTTTTTTGGGATCTACCAGCTATGTAGTTCAAGGGCCTGACTGGATATAGATTGCTTGCATCGTTTAGGTAGGTTCTTATATGACATAGTTTTCGTAACTCCAAAATTGATTATAGAAAGATTGTACGGTCAGATTATGTGCATGGTCAGCTCAAGTTTTGGCTGATAATGAATGTTATTACTTGTGTTGTTGCTGTGGACAGAACTGAATAATTTTACTAAATTATCCATACTGCATGAATCAGCGAAAACTAAAAGATGAAGTGCTGCTGAGTGTATGTACTGAACGTACATACCAAAAGTAAGCTTTAGTAGTTTTAGGGCATTTGGTAACTGCAAATATGAGACACACAGAGGGGAATTTATCAAAACTGGAGCAGACAAAACCTGGAGCAGCTGTGCCCAGCAACCAATCAGCATCTTGCTTTCATTTTCAAATCTTACCTGAACAAACTGAAGAAAGAAGCTGATTGGTTACTATGGCCAACTGCTCCAGATTTTGTCTGCTCCAGTTTTAATAAATTCCCCCCATTTTGTTTTTAGGTCAAGTTTGCTTTTAGTGAACTTGTCATTTAATAAATTCCCACCCCTCTAATAATTAACTTGTTCTTTAACCGCTTGAAGACCAGGTGTTTAGACCCCCTGTCCAGGCCATTTTTCAGTGTTCAGCGCTGCGGTATTTTGACTAACATTTATTCTGTCATGCAACACTGTACTGAAGTTAATTTTATACCATTTTTTGGGGGACAGATAGAGCTTTCTTTTGGTGGTATTTAATCACCACTTTTTTTACTATAATTAGGAAAAATTACTGAAATTTTTTTTTTAACATTATGTTAGGAAACATTTATTATTACCCAGTTTTTTTGTAAAATATAAAAGTCGGGGTCACGTCGGATAAATAGACACCAAACATGTCAAGCTTTTAACATTGCGCGCACCCGTGAAATCACAGAAAACTACCATACGCAAAATTGGCCATAGGCGACGCTTTAAAAGCTTTTACCGCTCATCAGTTTAGTGTTATCAGTGATTGATGGCCCTAGAATGATTGCTCTCACTGTGACGTTCGCGGCGATATGTAACGTGCGGCGTAATGGGCGCAATCGTCGTTTTTCACGTATGCACCCCCGACGCATGTTTGCATGCGTGTATGTATGTGCGGGTACTTTAAAAAAAAAAATTTGTTTTTTTTAATTTATGTGTAACTTTAAATTTTTTGGGAGGGAAACTTAAATTTTTTTTTCCACTAAACTTTATTGCTATTACATACGGAGGCTAATAAAACCCCCCTATGTGATGGGAAAATATGTGGATGCCTCTGATCCCCTGTGACACAGGCACCAGCGGGACAACGGGGGGAACGCGGAGGGGGGACACCGATCGTTACCCCATACAAGCGATCCGCCGGCTCTATAGCCGGCCGATCGCTTGCATGTTAACAGGCATCGCTGCCGGTTTTTAAATATCGGACATTTCTCGCTCTCGCGCGCCCAGCAGCGCGCAAGGGGCGTGTCTGAGCGGACGTCTAAAGATGCCCGCTCAGATCTAGAGAGCTCCCGGACGGCCTTTCTTTTGCAACGGCCAGCCAGGAGGTAGTTAAAGGTAGTGTGTAGACTGATATGAAAATTAGTTAATGGGATGCTATCTACTTTACCTGCTTTTTATCCACCTGTAGTGGATCATGCCACACACCGTCCCATTTTTTGCCAGTTGTTTTTAAAACAGCAGTTCTAAAGCTGGCCATATACTGGGCGTTTTTTTTCTTTTTCAGCCCGTAGGATTAAGCATGGATGAGGTAATCCCCCTCGCTTGCTTATTGTATTCTGCCAGAACAACTGATTGGCTGCAGTCACTATTCAGCCTTGAATTTTTGGTGACTAAGGCCGGGTAGTGGGTTTTTTTTTCCCGCAGGGGATGATAGCCACTCAATGGTCTGTATACTGACAGCCGCAGCTCTCAGAATACGTGAACAGTGACTGCAGCTGATTGCTTTCACTGTTTGGCCAAAAATCAAAACATATTTTGGACCGGCTGCTTCAAGGAAAGTCATTTGAAAAATGGGGGGGAGGGCTGCCAATCGGGGGATAAACTGTTTGCATTTTGAGCAGTGCACAGCCAGCTTCAGACTCTCCCACTTGCTCACTGCTGCGATCAAAAGGAAAGTGGTTGTATAGATGTAAGTATCATGTGGCCAGGGGGTGGGGTTTGAGGATATAGGAGTATGAAGGGAGCAATGGATGGCATAGAGTTTAGATTCACGCAGAGTTGCAATGTCTCCCTCATAGCATTGGCTGTCACAGATTTATGTACCTTGTTGCTTAGAGTTGCTGATTAACAATGTGAACAATGCACATAAAATTGGAAGTATACAGCTATATATACCCCTGTAGCTTCACTTCTATTTTTCATTTTATGTGATGTGTTCACATTCTACAGAAATCTAAAAAACAAGTCAATTGAGGTGACGCCAGCATGAAGGAAGAACCAGGAAGACCGTTTTCATTGTTAATACATATTGGCATTCACCCAAGACTGACAGACTTAGACAAGTGTCTTATTGTCAGTATGGATCAGTGTAATGTGGTAGCCTATACAATAGCTTTCCAACCAAGGATCTCTAATTTGCTGGATACATCTGAAAAGTATTTCGAAATAACTCAAGGCATGCATGAACAATTACATTTTAAAGGGAAACTATACTGGTGTTTTGGGTTGTTTTTTATTTTAGTTGTATACTTTTTTAAGTTGCTGTTTCATACCTCCTTTTAGCTAGATGTATAAAATCTTTGTTCTACAAATATAAACAATTGTTACATAAAAAAATTGTTTTTGTTTCTGAGTTCTACCTGTCTCTTTTAGATACAGTCCATAATCCAAGCCACCAACACTCAATGATGTGTGCAAGAAGTAAAACACTTTTTATTAAATTGTCACATGAGTCATACAGCCAATGTTTCGGGGCCACGCAGGGTCCCTTCTTCTGGGGGCGATAGTGACTGAGTCACTGTGTCGCCCAGAAGAGCTGACCTGCTCCTTCTGTCAGCTGATTCCTCAAGAGCATATTAATTTGTCCACCCCTGCCCTAGGATAAGGCACAGCTGTGAGTCATTCAGCGTGTGTAAATTTCAGTCCTAACCATAAAGAATCTAAAAATAAACAACACAATTAAACATTCCATTTACAGTAAAGCCATTGGGTTTCTGCTGGTAAATAGAAAGGTTGGCATGTGTAATAATACCCCTACTTAACCCAGATATGTATTTATCAATAAAATCCTTAAAATGTATTTTTAAAACTGAACACCACTGAATTCACAGCTATGCATACTCTCTTAAATATGTGAGAGTTGTTTTACCTGACAAAGGATTTGTGTGTCTGTCCATCCTTTCCTGTGATTTTCCACATATCTTGCTCACAGCACAGCCCTGTCTAGCAGAGTGTAAGACCTGATTTTGGTCTGCTGAAGTTTAGTAACACTTACAGGTCTTGTCCCTCCCCTAGCCTGTGAATGGACAGTGACAGGAGAAGCAGTAGAGTGATGAGCTCATCTCAGTCAGTCTGCTCTCTCTCCTCCTATCAGCAGCCTGATTGGCTCCTTATGATGCTTTTGCCACCGACTGTCTGAATGCTGCTGTACAGGGACTGCTAGAGGATAGCATCAGGTCAAATTCAGGTGCTTACACTGCAAGCTTTAGAAAAACACAACAAGTGAAGTATTAAGGATTATAGCGTTTCGAATTATATTTTATACTGTATCTGTCTGAAGTTCAGCTTTATATAGTAACTTTATCTGTCTTTATATTAGCCTTCTGTAGTTCCCTGTAAATCAATATTCAAACTTGGAAAGGGCAGCACTAGCTTTAGTACACTGCACAGTGCTCAAGAAACTAGCTGATAGTAGTAGAAAGCACACAGGGACCTTCTCAGTCCATTCTAGAAACAGGCTTTAGTTGTCTTTATTGCTTTAAGTGCACTAGAGGAAAGTGAGGTCAAATTCTGGTGGTGATTTCTGAATTGGATAAAATAATTACATTTCTTGGCAGGTAAATCTTTTTAAATTCAGCTCTTTGCCAGCACTCCTACTGTTGGAAAAAAAGTAAGTGCTTGGATACTAGTATGGTTGTGCATTTAAATGCATTAATATTATTTGACTTACTGAAGCACAGCTATTAATCTTTAAAAATAGTATTTATCTAATAATTGTACTTGTTGGTTGTAGATGTTCTTTGTTTAAATATTTCTAACTTTAATGTATGCTTTCATTTTCACTTCTTTATTGTTGTGATGAGGTTTGATTATTTTGAGATTATTTGAATAATTTGGAACTGACTTAATAGGATTATTTCTGGTATTTGGTTTCTCTTGAGTAGTAAACTCAGACTTGTGTCCCGAGCATTACTCATAAGAGGGCAGTGTGGTTCCACTAGGAAGAAAGAGAATCTTAAGCCGAAGAGCAGGCGTTTTCATCAAAGAGGAATAAAAGCTAAGCAGGCAAATTCTTTGAACCAAAGTGATAATTATTTTGAATTTATGGTATCTTAGCAGTGAGACACAACAGGATCTGTGCTGCTAAATGTGAACTTTCATGATTTGCAAACCCTTAGGGGCATTTTTATAAAGCAGTTAATGTGACTTTCATCAAACATTCACTGGTGGTGAATCAATCACTGTCATTCAAAACACATGCTCCAGGAAGATTTACCTGCAGTGAATGTTTGTTGAATGTCAGATTCACTGCTTTATAAATATGCCCCTAACATTTTGAAGTTAAAGGCACCCTAGTGTTATCAATATCCTCAAA